GGGGGGGGAGGGTACTGGATTGAACCTAGGGACACTTACCCCTGAACTATATCCCTAGCCCTTTTTATTTTTTTATTCAGAGACAGCCTCATTGTCTCTGAGCCCCATCCCACCCCGTATTTCATTCAGTTTTCAGTCTTTTTAAATCATGCAGAAAGCTGAAGATTTCCTTCCAGTTATTGGTCTTCATACCTCCTTTGTGGTTTGTCTTTCCCCATTCTTTGCCCGTTTTTCATATAGTACTATTTATTGAGTTATTTGCATATTAAGGTGAAATCCTTTTCTGTCATGTAGTGTAGATGTTTTCTTTCGCTGGATATCATCTTTGATTGTAGTGTTTTATCTACAGGGTGTATGTGTGTGCATGCACATGTGCATGTGTGTGTGTTTAGAACTACAGGAAAGTATGGTGGGAAATAACCCTTATTTACCTATCACCCGGATCACACAGACACTTATACACTGTCATTTTGGTTCTGTATATTTTTATAAAGGATGTAAAGTGTTATAGATGATGAAAATCCTCTTGGTAGCCCTTCCCACCCCATCCCTTGCTTCCCCCGGGGCCAGCTGCTGTAATGGATTGAGCGTGGCTCCTTCCAGTCCCAGTGTCCCTACTGTTCCACATGCACAACTGCCAGTAAAACACATCTAGTGCTAGTTCACGTGTGTGTGCTTGAGCTTACAGATGTACTGTCATATTGATGTATGTTTGGAAAATTTGCCTTATTCGTAATTTTTGTTCAATTAATAATGATACGTATAGATCTAGCTCCTTCACATTGACTGCTGAGTAGTATCATATCCATTGAATATAATTTCAAATTCTTTCTCAGTTTGTTTATCAATTCTTCTATTTTGGGAAACACGGAAGACACTTCTCTTTTTTCTGTAAGCAACTTTGCATGAACATCTGCACGTACGCCTCTTTTTGCGCATGTGGGGATCTTCTCAAGGGCAATGGACTATAGGTTATAGAAATTTTTAGCTCTTGACAAATTGTTCTCAGGGTTGTCCCAATAGACCTTTGCACTAGCATCACCATGATGTGTTGTTGGATTTAGTCATTTTTGTGAATCTGTGGGAGTGAGATAGAATCTGTGGCCTTAATTTGCATTATCCTGATTGCTGGTCGGATTGAACATCTTTTTATTATATTGTGGATATTAGGTTTTTATTCATAACCTTGCCTGTTACCCAAGGTTTAACAGGTTTTCTTTTCTATACTCTTTCTTTTCCTTTTGCTCATTTTTCTCATTTTATTTTTTCTTATTGATTTGTTAGCCTTCTTAGTATGGTATATATAAAGAATATTTATCATATGAAGACATAAAGAATCATTCTTTACATGATATAAGTGTATGTGTATATATATATACTATAGGTAGAAAATAATTATATATATGTGTGTGTGTATATAGATAGATAGATAGATAGATAGATGTATAGATGTATATGTATATAATTATTTCCCTTCTGGACTGGGGATTCAATTCCAGGACACTTTATCACTGGCTACATCCCTAGTCCTTTTTGTTTTTTGAGACAGGGCCTCTCTCCATTGCTGAGGCTGGCCTCAAACTTGCTTATTCTCCTGCCTCAGCTTCCTGAGTCACAGGGATTACAGGTGTGCATCATATAGCGCCTGGCTATGTTTTAGATATCAATACCATCTTGGATATAGTGTAGTCATCTTCTGATCCGTGTCTGGCCTTTCCAGTGCAATGCTTACTGCACTCTTGAGATCTTTGCCAAACCCTTCTAGTGTGGAGCTGGCTGGAAATCAGTGATACCCTCAAGGAATGCAGCCTCTACTTAAGAGTATTAAAAGTTCTCTGGAACCAGTAGCAGGGTTGGGAAGCATTGAGGCAACCCTAGATCTGACAACAAATAGCACAGCTCAGAAAGTCTGTAGACCGAGGAAGGGCAGGGCCTTCTGGAGAGGAGATGTACAGGGCCACAATCCATCCGGAGGTGTTTGATTTTGTAGTGAAGTTTATTTCCTCTGTTATGGCTTTTCCTCTGTGTGAATGTTCTCAGGGTCCTTCCTGAGCTCCACCAAGCCTCTGTCTACATCCCTTCTTCATGTGCCCTGTGCGGCTGTGCCTGCTCTGGACAGCAGGAGGCAAGGGCAGTTTGTCCAGGGCTTTTTCTGAGTCTCATTGCTGATAATATTTGGACATTGGAGATTTTGTTTTCATGTTGTAGCTTGATTTTATTCAGTGCTGAGAATTCACTCAGCTTCAGTACTGGAAATGCACCCAGATCTGCCAGCACAGCTGAGGAGTCATCTGGGGTCTCCATAAAGGCCCTGTGTGCCTGCAGCACCATTGTGTTTTTTGGTACCAGGGATTGAACCCAGGGGTGCTTAACCACTAAGCCACATCCGCAGCCCTTTTTTTTTTTATGTTTTATTTTGAGACAGAGTCTCACTGAGTTTCTTAGTGCCTTGCTAAATTGCTGAGGCTGGCTTTGAACTTGGGGTCCTCCTGTTGTGGCCTCCTGAGTTGCTGTGATTATAGGCATGTGCCACTGTGCCCGGCTCCATTGTGTTTTCTTACATACCACTAAAGGGGTAATTAAAGTATGTTTGTCTTGTCAGTTTTTTAGCCTCATGGAAACCAAAGTCACGTCTAAGGAGTCAGGATGCTTTTGAATTTTTCCCACTCCCACCCACCACATTTAGATCAAGAGAAAACAAACAAACAAAAAAATCCTTCCAACAGTGTATGTTTTCTACAACTCAGAAGAAATAAAGTTAACCAATTTGTAGAATTCCCTGGTAGGTTGTCACAAGAATCCCCCGGAGAACATGTCAAAGTGGCTGTCATAAATATTGGCGTGCTGGCTGCCGTGGTGGTGCATAGCTGTAATCCCAGCAGCTCAGGAGGCTGAGGCAGGAGGACCACAAGTTCAAAGCCAGCCTCAGCAACTTAGAGAGGTGCTAAGCAACTCGGTGAGACCCTGTCTGTAAATAAAATATATTTTTAAAGGCTAGGCATGTAGCTCAGTGGTTAAACACTCCTGGGTTCAGTCCTCGGTACCAAAAAAAAAAAAAAAAAAAAAAGCCAGTGGGAAACGGCAGCTTCATAAGACACTGTTGCCGGCACCCCGTTCCAGTGTGTGCCTCTGTCCTCCTGTTGCTTGGGGTTTCTGACTCCTTTCTAAGCAGAGCGGAGGTCCAGAAGGTGGCCATAGGGTGATTCCCTCAGCTCTCAGGGCTTCATACCAAACGGCAGTTTCCAGGGGACCCTTCCTTTGGTCTCAGCCTGCCCATGGCTGAGAATCATGGCATCTTTTAGTAACTGGAAACTTATTGGCAGTTGGCATTTCCTTTTTTTTTTTTTTTTTTTGGTACGTGTGTTTATTTCTGTTAAAAAAAAAAAAAGATATCGCCTTTCCTTTCACTCTGTTCTCATTGCACATTAGCATTTCTCTTTTTACGCTGTCTTTGTGTTTTTTTACCTTAGGCCGGAAGCTGAGAGGAAAAGCCTTTTATTTTGTCAACGGCAAAGTGTTTTGTGAGGAAGACTTCCTGGTGAGTATGTCACCCAGCTTCCCCTCCCTGTGCTGGCCAGAGAGGCACAGGGCCAAGAGCCTGGGGGGGACCTAGACAGTAGGAGGTGGGTTCTCTGCACTGCTCAGCTCTGTTGGGAGGCCACACTGCTGGACAGAGAAGCCCTGGCTATCTTCTGGAGATGCCAGGGTAGCCCTTATTCCTGGGGTGATGCTCCGGAACTCCTCTTTGAGAACCTCTGCATTTAGGAATTCAAGCTCTTTACATAAAGCCTGGCACACAGTAGGTGCCCAGCACAGCTGCTATTAGGGTGGTGGTATTAGTATTTTTAGTGGCTTTTGTGGCAGAAGATAGCTCCTGACTCAGTGAATGGCTCCGTTGTTCTCGGGTAAAATGACAGATTCCTGCCCAGAGTGACACATCGTTCTCATAAATTGCTTATGACTCTCTGGTCTGGTGGGAAAGTGGCTGATTCATCCACCCAGCCTGGGTTTGACTTCTTTTCCCTTTCTTCTGCAGTACTCTGGCTTCCAGCAGTCTGCTGACAGGTGTTTTCTTTGTGGACATCTGATCATGGACATGGTGAGTCAGATCAGCTGAACAAGATCATAGCATCTTGGGAGGAGGAGGCAGTGGCGGGGGGGAGAAATTAATAACTGAGCACAGTGCTTATTATCTTGATTGGTGGCCTCGGCTGGTTTTATTAAAAGAAGACCCGGTGAAGTGCAGCCTGCTTCCCTAATAGAACCCACGTTGTTGGCTTTTGTAATATTTGCAGCTTTAATCATTCAGACTGCACAGTGTTGATTCTGATCTTGTTCTCTCCTTCACTGGACTGTTTGGATCACATTGGCCCTCTGATTTTCTCTGTGATCTGGTGGCATTTCAGGTACATGCCAAATGCAGCCTGGTTTTACTGCAGAAATCTCAGCCTACTTGAAGTTGAGTGCAGAAAATCAGTTGAATAGGGTTGTTTTTTTCCCCCTGTATTCAGTCCAGCTCAAGCTCCTAAGACAGGTTTGGGGGCCTGTCATTAACTCCCCAGACAGTAGAATTAATTTGTTGATCATAGGAAATGATTGTGTGACATACTTTAGTTGGAAAGCATTAAATTCCTCTCTCTCATGATCCATCAGCTCCATTCTGGAGAAGAGAATTGCCAATCATTACTCCTTTTTTTTAACCTTTTTATCGAGAAGTAACTCAGAGTGAAGTGTGCAAATTTTGGGTGAGGGTGATGAATTTTTTACATGTGTACCTGCCCACATAATCACCACCCAGATAAAGATACATGACATTGTTTGAACCCCAGAAAGTCCCTCTTGCCATCTTCCACTTGAGATCCTATTTCCACAGTGGCGACTGCTGTTTGGCTTCCATTGCCACTAATGTTTTGCTGGTTCTGAAACATCATAAAAGAAGCATTGTAGAACATAGATGCTTTCGATGTTGATGTGTTTCATTTTTGTTTTAGGGGGGGTACTGGGGATTGAACTCAGGGCCACTCTATCACTGAGCCACATCCCCAGCCCTATTTTGTTTATGTAGAGGCAGGGTCTCACTGAGTTGCTTAGTGCCTTGCTGTTGCTGAGGCTGGCTTTGAACTCAAGATCCTCTTGCCTCAGCCTCCTGAGCTGCTGCCATTGCAGGCGTGCTCCACCGTGTCCGGCGAGCATAGAAGCTTTTGAATCTGTCTTTCCTCACTTAGGGATGTGTTTTTGGTCCTTCATTTATTTTTGTTGCAAGGTAGAATCCCATTGTATGGAATTGATGGGAATTGGGGTGTTTTCTTTTTCTTCTTTTTTTTTTTTCCATGCATGATGCTGGTGGGAACTCTCTTGTGCATCTTTGATGGATGTAAACACTCATTCTGCTGGTTATATACTAACATTCATAAAACAACAGTAAACAGAGTCCTCACTATTCATGAAGAATACCTGTGGCTATGAAGTATTGATACATTGCACCAGAGCTTAGCCTGCTTAGCCATGTCCTCACTAGTGGCCAGGGCCTTCCTGGGGAACAGGGCCCTCTACCTATTTCCTCAGGGGGAGGCATGTAGGAGCCATGTACCTTCCCCAGTTGCCTGCCAGACTCTGTAGGGCTCCATTTCTTCTGCAGAATGTGTCCTCGTTTTTAGAGTTCTTCTGACAAACCCACTGCATATGAGGTCAACATTGTCCAAATAAATGAGTACTATTATTCCCTGTTCCTACTTATAGGTGTCCTAAGTCTTCTTGGGCCTTAAGTTATATCATTTATCTATTGCTACATGATAAACCACCCCAAAACTTAGTGGTTTAAAACAACAGTGTTTTATTATTTATCAGGATACTGTGGATCAGGAATTAGGTCGGGGCTCAGCAGGGTGATTCTTCTGCTCTCCATGACATTGGATGGAGTCACTTAGCTTTGTTCAGCTGGTGGCACACTTGAACTGGAACCTCTGAGATGACCTCTCACCCCTAGGCTACTCCCCATGTGGACTCTGATCTTTTTGTAGTTTGGTTCAGGCTCATAAAAGGTAGAGGAAGCAGAAGCTGCCAGTTCTCTTAAGTCCCAGACTCCAAAATCTCAGGACATCACTTCTTCCTTATTCTGTTGATCAAATGAAGTCACAGGCCAGTCCTGATTGGGGAGTGGAGTATTCTCCATTTCTTGATGTAAGGGTCAACGTATGCATCTAGGAAGGGGAGCACTTGATTTGGGGAGATGGTTTCTACTCTAGGGGATCATGGAAGTTGGACCTGCAGTCTCCCAGGTCTTTTTGAAGACTCAAAACCTCTTGGTGAACATCTGTCTGGTAGTAAGCCTGGATTTTAAAGACAGAACCCTTGACTGCTGCCAAGAATTTTTATAACACACTGAAAGATTTTTTTCAGATACCACTTTTATTTCTATAGCAGAGCTTCAACGGTCCAACTCTGTATAAATTGTTCATATCCCTCTTTGTTAATAAAGGGGTATATTCTGGAATAGGACATAGTCTTACATACCAGAATTATTACAGCTAGCCAAGATGGAATGAAATAACTTTTTTTTTTTTTTTTACAATCTTGCTTTAGGCACATCATGGGTTCAATTAATTTCAGGATCTCTTTCTGCCAAGGCAGCATTAGTCTGGAGGAAATGCATTCCAAGGCCCGAATTGCCAAATGGACTTTGAAAGCCCAGCAGTTGTTCTTCCTCTTTGGCAGTTTACTATGGATCCAGAGGGGCCTCTGAGGTAGTGAAACCCAGGAGGGAATGAGGAAGTGTGAAAGCTGAGCTTTCAGAGGTGAGCTAGCAGAGCACAAAGTCCACCTCTTGCCACTCTGGCTAGAGTGTGTGCAGTGTAGAATTATCTGCTTCCAGTTCAAGGAGCTGAAACATGATATGTCTTTCCCAGGGTCTCATAATGTCCTGACTAAACTCTTCCAGTCCCTTTTCTTCAGCCTGTGTGAGGTTTCCTTCATGGCTTCCACTGCCAGGGACAGGTGGCCACCTGTACATTCTCTGCACATGGGTGTTTGTGAGCTCCCTTACTTGTATAGATTGTTTTTGCTGTTTTGTGGCCCAGGTAATTGCAGAGACAAATCTATTGAGTCAGTGAAGTTGCTTTCAACTATAAATTACAGGAGAACACAGACTTATTTTAACCAATGGTTCCTTACTTTAGCATGCATCAGAGTCCTCTTATTAAAATACAGAACTTGCCCCACAGTTTCTGATTCAGGAAATCCAGGATGGAGTCTGAGGATATACATTTTTACCAGGTTCCCAGGTAATGCTGAAGCTGTGGGTTCAGGGAACCACACTTTAAGAACATCTGTTTTAGCCGTGAGGTTTGGAGATAAGGGGTCCCAGGGTGAGTTAATTCAGCTCCTTGCTGATCTCCCCAAAGGTGTTCTTTCCGTACCCACCCTCCTCCCCTTGCCTGCGTCCTGGTTTCAAGATGGCGTTAGCAGTTCCAGGTGTCATATCCAGATCAAATGATGCTGAGAAGAAGGAGGTTTGTGGGTATTTGTCTTCATTGTGTTTAAAAACAGCTGCCACCAGGGGACTTTGCTTTTACACTTGGATGTGAGATAACCGGGAGGCTTGAGTTGGGGCTTCTTGATTACCATACTGCGGAGTCACGCCACACGTGAGGAGCACCCAAGAAGCTAAAGTTAGAAGGTTTTTCCCCACAAATGGCCGTTTCCGGTTAAATTACCTTTCATTTTCTCATGTAATTGCCGCTTGCCAAATTGGTGAGGAATCCCTCTGTGCCTCAGCTTTGCATCATTTCCTGCTTCTCTGTGGTGGCTTTTGGCCCTGGGATTGGCTCAGCCCTATCCCAGCATCCCTCTCTAGGAAAGAGTTTCCTGCTGTGGGTGGGGATTGGAAAGGAGTCCCCCCAATTCCCTCCCTGCTCAGCAACCCTGAGAGGTTGCAGGAGAAGGATTCTGATGGATCCACTCCTGTCCATACATATAAACAGACCAGCCCTCCCATCCCTGGGCTCCCTTGACCTCCAACCAGGTGAAACTCTTGGGGGAGACTGCTCCATGTTGAGTTCCCGCCAGGTGGCTGGGCTGGCGAGATGAGCTGGGTTCAAAGGAGCTGGCTGCGGCAATAAACTAAGAAAACGGCGAAGAAACCACACAACACACGGACATGAGTTTCTAAGATCAAGGGTAGGATGGCTCTTTGACCTTAAGGATCAGCTTCATGCTGGACAGCACTGGAAAGAGAGCATGCACCTGGAATCTCTGTATTTTATAGGAGGGACACATAGAGGAGCTTCGATGGAATGTTCTTCACCAAAGAAAGCAGGAGATAGGGTTTCAAAGGTGGAGTCTTGCTTTGTAATGTCTTATGGTCAGCAGATTGATTGACATCTTGGCAAGTTTCATCCATTTCAGGTGCTATGTGGGATCCCAGGCAGAACAAGAGAAAAGGTGCATTTACATCACACAGCCCAATCAGCATGCAGCGCCAGACCCATCCCCTCATATATCTCCAATGCGCACACACACACAGCCCATGGATGGCTTGTGACATGGAGTGACTGAACATGTGACCCCTCCGCCCAGGCACTTCTCTCTCTCTGCCACTGTCCCTTCCATCCCTAGAATTCCACTAAGTCTCTGCCTCTCCTCCTTTGTGCCCCCAGATCCTGCAGGCCCTGGGGAAGTCCTACCATCCTGGCTGTTTCCGATGTGTGATCTGTAACGAGTGTTTGGACGGGGTCCCCTTCACCGTGGACTCGGAAAACAAGATCTACTGTGTCCGAGATTACCACAAGTAAGGAGGGAGGGAGCAGACGGGAACCATACACGGTAGGCCACACTGAACTCAGCAGAGAGTGGAAACGACCGTGATTATAGTAGCTTGTACCAGTTGTCCAGAGTCAGCAAAGGCTTAATGGCTTTGAGGGTACAGCATGGGCCCTGGGAGGTCAGTAGATGCCAGCAGATAGGAACTGGTTGAAACATCTCTTTAGTGAAAAAGTAGAACAGTGTCAACAAACCCTGTAACCAGCTTCCTGGTCTCGGGAGGACTCCACCAAGCTACCAAGTCCTGTGGCTCCAGCTTTATCTAACTTTGCCAGGCACCAAGTCAGGGTTGGTTTCTACCACACTGGGTTTACTGGGCTGTACCAGGCATCACAAAGGGAGCGAAGAGCCAGGTTAGTCTTTATTCAGATGTCCTTGTTATAGCTGGGAACAATCCCAAAGCAACACTGAAGCGTGTCCCACAGAGCTGTGATCCACATTCTTCCGGTGAGGGCTAGAGGGACGTGCCAGGGAAGCCTGGGCAAAAGGTGGCTCCTCGCAGCCTCCTGGTGCCAGCCTTATTCGGGGCCTCGCCTCCTAGAAACAACACAAGTACATTTTTCTGCTTCTCTGTTTTTCCCCAGGGTATTGGCCCCCAAGTGTGCAGCTTGTGGGCTTCCCATCCTTCCACCTGAGGTAAGATGCTTTCTCACACATGTTCCTGGGTCTTCTAGGACCTGGGCATCTCCCTTGGGTCAGTCACAAGATTCTGTGTCCTGTCCTTATACCTTTCAGAATCCCAATTCTGAGACAAAGAGCATTGCTCCCTTTCTCGTGGCCTGGCTTTCCCAGCCCCATGCCCTTCGTGTGCCTGTTCATCCCACAACCAGATCTAACTCCCCTACTTGATGCTTAGATTAGCAGATGAGCAGAAAAGCTTTTCTTTTTTTCATTTTTAAAACAATTAAATGTCCCTGTTGGCCTTTTTGTTCTCTGTTGACTCCGGTGCTCCACAAGGTGATATTGCCCCTCCCACTTCCTACCTCCTCAGCGAATTCTTTCTCCTTCAAGTGTTAGTTTTCGCTGCAGCTCTGTGTTACCCCAGGTCACTCTCTGCTCCCCACTCCATGGCCCTTGGCATCCACTGGGCCCTTAACTGGCCTTTTCCACATGTCTTGCTTTTCTTTGGGCTCAGGGCTCCGATGAGACCATCCGTGTCGTGTCCATGGACAGAGACTACCACGTGGAGTGTTACCACTGCGAGGTAGGCCCCTCCCTCGTGGCCCCCAAGCCCATCTCAGAAGTCCAAGAGGAAAGCCACTTAGGTTACTGAGGGTCGTGAGGTTATGGGTAAGGTCTGCCCTCTAGAGCTAACGTGGGAGCAGACGGGGAAGATACGGGTGCTCGGGTGTGAAGGTCTTGATCATTTTCTACACATCCAGAGCTGGCAAGTCCTGAAACCTAAGCTGTTTTCCCTGGTGCTGCAGAGCTAGGAGGGTCAGTTGGAGTGTGGGTCTCAGGTTTTGTGTGGGGACCAGGTCATCAGACAGGTGTGTGGTTGAGGGAAGAGACTCCCTTCCCTGCAGCACACAGGCTTTTCCATCTGCCAAAATCTCCGTTCTGAGCTATGCCCTGGAAATCGTGAAGAAACCCCTCTTGGAAACAGGCATGGATGGAGGCCAGTGGAGGCTCACCTGCCCCATGTCATGTGCCAGGCTGAATGAGCCACTAGGGTGCCTAATGATTGCCAGGGAAGCCAGAGGTCCCTACTCACCAGCCCCCCTGAAGGCTGACAGTGGGATTCCCACAGGAGATTAGGTTCACTTTGTGATACTGTTGCTGGGAAGGGCAGGGAGTGTAGGTGACACCCATTGAAGAACTGAAGGAACAGGTGGGACGCCTGGCCAATGATACTCCAGGTCCCTGGAGAAGAGGGTGAAGATGTTTGCTCAGCCATCCTCTCTGCCCATCCCAGACCAGCCTGTCCAGTAGAGAGATAAGTGCCACAAGTTCAAGTTGGGTGTATCACTCCCAGTTTCCCAGTAGGCACATTTGAAACGTCTAAACAAGGAAGTGGGATCAATTTTTTTTGGGGGGGGGCAGTATTGGAGATCAAACCTAGGGCCTATGCTTGCTAGCATTCTTATCACTGAGCTATATCACCACCCCTGGGATCAATAATTTTATTCAGCCTAGTAGATCTAAAAATATTATCATTTCAACGCGTAGTCAGTATAAAAAGTCATCCACGAGATGATTTTCCATCATCCTTTTGTCCTGAGCCATGGAAATGGGTGTGCATTTGCTCTGTCAGCACGTGCTCTTTCCAGCCAGCCCCGTTTCAGGTGCTCTGTAGTGACCTGTAGCCAGTGGCATCCAGATTGGACAAGTCTTCACTGGGGATAGCTGGGAAACAGTGCCCCCTGCTGGCTTGGGATGGTGGCCTGATGTCAGTCTCGCGGTCAGTATTGTTCTGCTTTCATTGGACGTTCTTTCCTTGTCCCCCAGGACTGTGGTCTGGAGCTCAATGATGAAGATGGTCACCGCTGCTATCCCCTGGAGGACCACCTGTTCTGTCACTCATGCCACGTCAAGAGGCTGGAGAAAGGCCCCTCGTCGGCAGCCCTCCACCAGCACCACTTCTAGCCAGAGCCACTCCCGGAACTCCTGGTGGGGGTGAGGGGCCAGGGCTGCACTCGGAGACATCTGCGCTTTACTTCTGGTGGTCCCTGGGGTGGGAGGAGAACGGGTGGGTGAGTTCCTGCATGTGTGGGGTTCCTTTCTTTCAACCAGGGAGGTGGGCGCACTGCCTGTCTGGTGTATGTATTTTCCTAAGTGCTTTTCTCCTTGTCACGCCCTCGTCAGGTGACTCGGGAAGCCACTCCACGGTGTGAGCCAACAGTTCCCGCTTCAGGAGGAGAGTTTTGTGTTGATCACATTCCCAGGGTGTCCTGAAGTGACAGCTCAGCGGCCAAGACATTCAGCCCTTCCCCTCCGATAGGAAGGTGCCTTCACCCGGTCACCCCTTCATACATGTGCACCTCCAAGGCAGGATTGAAGACTGCTTTCCGTCCCAGATTCAGTACTGCTGAGAGTGGCTGCAAACTTCGATCGCATTATAGTGAGAAGGAAGCTCTAATCCGTGCTTTGTGTCCAGAGAAGTATTTGCTTAGTACATCAGAGCCCAGGTTCCAGACTCGGGAACCAGGCTCCTCCTTGGGCTCTCACAGCATTCTGTGCCCCTGCCAGTCCTCACTCTCTTAAGGCAGGGTGTGATATTTGGGGGCCCCATGGAGGCTTGCCCTGTCCCGGTAAAACATGCTTTGGGAGAAGACCTTGGTGCAGGCACCAGGACCCTTTTGCCCACCTATTTGTGTTGTTTTCTTTTCTCAGGGCTCTGGAGAGTCTGTGACTTTGGAGCCATTCCTGCAAGGAAGTCTCTGGATCCCATGTGGGAACATGTCTGGCACCTATTTTAGCTAATTTAACGAAGGCCTTTTTGAACGTCCTGCCCACATTGCAGAGAGAGAACTCCTTAGAAGCAGGGAGAGTTTTTGTGTGTGTGAGATCTGTGAGCTGGCATGGCAGGCAGTGCTTCTGGGGTGAGTTAATATATTTACTTCAGGGCTTTCCCTCTTGCCTACTTCTGGGCACAGACATTATGTTTGAAGAAACCAACATAAGGTACACTGCTTTGGCCTGTTTTTTTTTTTTTTTTCTTTTAATTGTTTCTGTCCACTTTTAGTCTTTCACACACACAAAAATACCTCACAGATAGAGCTTCACCCAAATTGCATTTTTAGGAGGGATTTGGCCACCACACTGGACTCAGATACCTCCTTGGGTGTGTTAGGAATCGCTGGCTTCACATGTCAGACTCCAGCTGGTCAGGGTAGTGTGATCATAACTAAACAGCAGCTGGGAATAGAGCTGATGGAAATTCGGCACTATGGCCTTATGCATTTCAGCATACTGGCTCCCAGGTGGCCAGAGCTGGAAGAGGACCACACATTGGCAAGATTTCAAGATCACCTGAAAATGCAAAATTTGCCCTCCAAGTTCACTTCAAGGCTGCTGAGGCCAGAGGATAATTCAAATGGGAGAAGCTTTTTTTTTAAAAAAAAAAAGACTGGTTACCATTTGCCCTCTTCTCCTGTGATGAGATTGCTGGGTGTCTTCCTGCTGCCAGCCAGAGCAGGGCATGGCTCTGGACTCTGTACTCTGCAGAGCCCTATCCTCACACCCAGAGTGGGCTGTGGAGAGTGGTCAGTGGTATTGCTGGCACAAGTGAATGCAGACTGTTCACCCGGCCTGGCTCCACCTGTGGGCCATGTTTGGACTCATTGGCAGCCATTGTGGGTGAGAAGCACAGAATCAGCACCAGGGATTGTCTTTTCCATTTCCTCTGGCCAGATGGCACTCCTCAGTTCCTGGTCCCAGGCTGTGCCTCCTGAAAGCCCATGAATGCTTGGGCCTGTGGTGTGGACCCTGAGGCTGGGCCCCTCTCTTCTGAACAAGCCATCCAGCTTGGCTCTGGCAGGGCTGGTGGGGAACAAAGTGAGCCACTAGGTCTTAACCTAGCTCTGTCCCCTAATGTTGGCCTTGCCGGCACACCTTTGCTCCACTTTTGAGTCAAGCAGAGTGAAGAAAATTGTGTTGGAATCACTATCAGAAGTAGCAGGGATTTGTTTGCAAATGGAATGATTAGTTTAAAACCCTTAGATTAATATTTTGAATGACATTTTTAAAGTGGCCTTGATAGAGGTATTTCAGATGTATTTGCAGATTCATTTTATGTTGTGGGAAAAGTACAATGGTAATTTCCAGATGTCCTAGAAATCCTAGCAGTGGACTTCTGATTGTCCAGTCTCTGGAAAGGGCACTGGTAGGGATCTTGAATTAGTTTTGTCTGTCTCCATCTCAGGCCCTTGCATGAAAAGCCATGAAGAGATGTTGGCCTATCTGTATTTTAAATAAATTATTGGTCCAATAGAACTGTAATGGGGTTGTATTTATGGGCATATAGGAAAAAAACCATGATGAATAAATTTGCTTTGAAAGTTAGAGAAAATAACCTTTTTGGTTTCCTGGACAGTTCTTGGACTTTAGATAAAACAAGGAGGATGAAGGCCTGATCCCAGACCCCAAAGTGAGCCTCCATCCTTCTCTCTTGTGTCGTTTCGCCTTGAGATGTTTTTGCACTCTATCTTGGTTCTCTCTTTTTTTTCCATCTGCTCGCTTGAGTCAAAAGCAACCTGGGTGATCTATAAAAGTCTGATAACCCAGTTTGGTCTGTCATGTAGGGATTCTCTCTCATTCACTTTTTCTCCTCCCGAGATGGAGATCGTCCGCTTTGTTATCTCTTACTGAAGAAGGGCATTCCTTCCTAGCATGAGGCCGTGGATGGGGACTCCACGTCTCAGTTCCACTTCTCAGACTCCACTTCTCTCCACTTCTCAGTTATTGCTATTTGAGTGTGCTGTCCTGCAACTGAGAACCTCTGAGGTTCTGCTTTTGAGTCCTGGGTGGCTGATAGAATAACCAAGGCACGCTGATCGCCTTCAAGGGCTGTCCTCGCCTTGTTTCCGGGGGCCTGAGTCACACTTACAAGATGAAAAACAGGATTGTTAGGACTTAAGAGAATTATTCGGAATTCACAGTCCATTGCGCTCCACTAAAGGCTGCTTTTATGTGCCCTTTCTATGCCTGTGTGAGTGCATGCTGCAAGGTTGATAGTACCTTGCAGAGAAAGGGTGTGGGACTCTACCCCAAATAGTGGTTGCTGAAGGCACTTATTAAAATTCTGTCTGCCAGGAAACCAAATTATTTTTGTACTTTCCTTTGCCAAGAATCAGTCCTAAGCCAGGAGGGGGCAGTGCATACCTGTAATCCCAGTGGCTTGGGAGGCTGAGGCAGGAGGATCGTGAATTCAAGGCCAGCCTCAGCAATTTATCAAGGCCCCTAAGCAACTCAATAAGACCCTGTCTCTAAATAAAATACGAAAAAGGGTAGGGATATGGTTAAGGGCTCCCTGCATTCAATCTTCAGTACACACTCCCCCAAAAAAGAATCAGTCCGAATTTCCTAGTTAGTATTTGAAGTAACTTTAAAATAACAAGAACAACAACAAAATGAGTAAAAATGTACTAGGTATCTTTTGTGTTCTGAGCCAAAACTGGACAGATGTGGGAAATCTCCATATAGTTATGAAAGTCTTGCTGTATAGGGAAATTATTTTCCTCTGTGTGTCTTCTTTTACTATAAAATTATTCAAAGTATTGCAACGATACAACTGAATCAAAGTGCTATTAAAGTGTTCTCCAACATAACAGTGTTCACTGGGCCTTTTCTGTGTGTGGAATAATGTGACAGTGTTGACAGTGTTTTTACTCCTGGGTTTTACCCTTTTAGAACTCTGGATTCTTTAAGAAACACACGAGTTTCAAGAGCCTGAGATTTTACCTTCTTAAAGCTAATAAATTAGCATGGCATGGTTTCCTGGATCCTGGCAGAAGTTATGGAACTTGCAGATCAGGACAAAGGACAGTTTATTACTAATAGCAATAGTAGTAGCCTGATTATCAGCATTTGGAATTGTTTACTGAGCCCTGTTTTCTACAGGGCTCCATGAGGAGGATCAGGCAATACCTGTACATGTGGTGGGTTGCATTACAAGGGGCACCAGATGCTTAGGAAACCCTGTCTTTTATAATGAGCATTGAGTCTGCCTGATCTTTGCTCTGGAGAGACACAATCATTCACAACTGTTCACTGTACTAACATCCTTGAAAAGATAGTCTAGAACTAAGGGAGTCGGAGCCTATGCTCACAAGAATAGCGTTGGAATCTGAAAGGCCTTAGAGAATCATATCCCAAGTCCAAATGTGTGTTGATTTCTATGATGCAAATGCTCCTGTCACACCTAATTTCTTTCTACCAATATGGCACCCCAGAATCCACCCCAAAGTTGGGAGAAGATAACTTAGTTATGAGCAAGCATGAGTTAGCCTCATGCACCTGGGGGCTGAAGCAGAGAGGAAATCTGATCTGGTTCTAAATTCCATGATTGCAACATAATAGCTGACATTAATTGTGGGGACCATGTCCCAAATGTTATTTTAAGGACTCCATATTCTCTATCATCCCTCATTTTATGAACATCTGAGAGACATGGATGGTGAAATAACTCTTCAGTGAGTGCTCAGTAAATAGCAGGACAAGTATGCCATCCCAAGTAGCTTCATGGCCTATCTTGGCCACTCTGTCTGCTGAGGGGTTAATCAGTTGTGCTTCAGTGTATTTATTCAATAAAGCCACACAGTCCCTAAAATGGCTACGAGGAGCAGCTTATCACTGCTGTTGGACTCTGTTGTTTTCCTGTTGCTGCTGTAGAGTCATTCCTCAAACTCAATGGCTTAAAATAGCACAAGTTTGTTAAAATTCTGAAGAAATGGGTCCTCTGGGTTCACATCAAGGTTGTCATAGATCTGCATTTGATGCAGAAGCACTGGGGGAAAATGCATCCTTGCCCATTTCCGGCTTCTCAAACTGCCGTGTTTCAGGGCTTGTGGTGGCACCACTCCAGCTCTGTAACTCTGCTTCTGTAGTCAGGCTGCCCATCTCTGATCACGCCCCCCCCCTTATCATAATGACCTTTTTATTATATTGGGATTTTCCAAATAATCCCAAATAATCTTACTATCTCATGATCCTTAAGCCGAAATCCCCCTTGCATTATTGGATAAGATATAGTCGTAGATCTTGGGGATTAGGGCATGGACATCTTGATGGACAGCATTATTCAGACTCCAACAGAATATGTTTTTTTGGCTGGGAATGTGGTTCAAGCGGTAGTGCGTGCTCGCCTGGCATGCGTTCGGCCCGGGTTCGATCCTCAGCACCACGTACAAACAAAGATATTGTATCTGCCAAAAAAAAAAAAAAAATAAATATTAAAAAATTCTCTCTCTCTCACCTCTCTCTTAAAAAAAAAAAAAAAGGAATATATTTTTTTTTTAGGATGGAAATGAAAGTTTCCCTAGGATACTAGGTGCCTTTTTTTCAAGCATTGTTAAAAGTGGGGTTTACATTTTTCCTGGATTGAAAACAGAAATGTATCATATATAGTAAACACAATTAGAATCTGGGTGTTAAAAAAGTGAGATGTCATACTGTGATGGGGGAAAAAAAATCCAAGAGGTCCGGTCTGGTTTAGAAGTTCTCAGACATGTGACATGCCCAGGTGTATGACCCTTCTAGGAGAAGTCCTCGTTGTGTGATACCTCTGAGCTTGTAAAGCAGCAGAAAACACTGCTGCTACCTACCCACCCCCTCCCTCCACTCCTCCAACTGATCCAAATCCTGGAGAAAGGCGGCTGTGGGCACAACAGGTCTCTGAAGGAGTGAAAAATGAGGGAACTTGGGGATTTGGCACGAAGGCAGACTCCACAAGACAAAATGGATCCAAGGTCTATAAGTGGGAATTAGACAAGAAGGGAGCTATAGAGATCATCTGGATGGTGCAATAATCTGCAGCTTGGACTGTCTGCATGAGAAGGCCCTGGCAGATTTTATAAAATGTTCATATTTGTATAAGTAACAATTTATTATAGGAAAAATTCGGCGACAGACGACAATTTACATTTACCCATCCTTGATGGTTGCTTATCCTGAACACTGCTGTGCTTAAGAGTCTTTTTTTTTTTTTTAAAGATCTTCTGTTTTTTATTTATTTATTCATTTATATGTGGTGCTGAGGATCGAACTCAGGGCCTCGCACGTGCTAGGCAAGCACTCTACCACTGAGCCACAACCCCAGCCCCGCTTAAGAGTCTTATTTTGGCTTATCTGGCTTTTAAAAATCCTAACTGGATTCTCTCTCAGTGTCACTAAATGTTCATGAAGGCCTTGGTTTATGGTTGCCAAATGGTGAAGAAGACATGTTCAGAGCAACTGGGCAGGTCCTCTCTGGAAGGCAGTGGCCCTTTAGCTGGAAGTATTCTTTTCTTAAAACCTAAGAAACACACCACAACTTCAATCCCTTTTATTAAAGGGGAAGAAATGTCCAGAAGCCCAGAGCTGGTGAATAGAATTCTCAGGACTAGAAATGAGGTCTTCTTATGGCCAGTGAAGGGGGTAGAGTAGTATGTGACTGCCATCCATGCTCAGTCAGGGCACGGGACCTGAACCTGTTCATGGGTTGCCTTCTTGGGTACAGTGACCCCTAGGCCAGGAAAGCCTTGGGTTCAAGAGCCCTCAGTCTTCTCCACTTAACTGTTCAGTGACCTTAAGGAAATTTAGTTCTCTCTTCTGTAAAAAATGGGGATAACAATCACAAGTTCGAGGCCAGCCTCAGCAACTTAGTGAAGCCCTAAGCAACTCAGTAAGACCCTGTCTCAAAAAATAAAAAGGGTTGGGGATAGGGCTCAGTGCTTAAGTACCCCTGGGTTCAATCCCTGGTACCAAACAACAACAACAAAAACAGGTAACTGAACATAAGAGACTGTTTTAAGGGTTGATTGAATTGGTCCAAATAAAAGGGCTTAAAGCAATATCTTGCATGAAGTAATGGCTCAGTTAAGTGTGATAGTATTTAAGATTTAATATGTTTACATCAGGATAATCAACAAAATAAATTAGAAATGAATTAAATTTAAGAAAAAGTAATACAAAATTTTTAAAAAGTGCATGTGATAGGGGCTAGGGTTGTGGCTCAGCGGTAGGGCGCTTACCTACCACACGCAAGGCCCTGGGTTTAATCCTCAGCACCACATAAAAATAAATAAATAAAGGTATTGAGAACTACAACTAAAAAATAAATATTAAAAAAGTACATGTGATAGAAACAAAATATTAGCAAATTTGAATTAATAAAAGCAAAAATTAGGTTAAAAAATATTATAAGGAGGGCTGGGGATGTGGCTCAAGCGGTAGCGCGCTTGCCTGGCACGCGTGCGGCCCGGGCTCGAACCTCAGCACCACATACAAACAAAGATGTTATGTCCGCCGAAAACTAAAAAATAAATATTTAAAAAATTCTCTTTCTTAAAAAAAAAAGCTACCTCCTTAAAAAATATTATAAGGGAAAGATAAATAATAAACTGGTAAAAAGATTATAATGTGATTGATAGCCAGAGTTAATATCCTTAATACATTAAAAAGTCATATTTGCAAGAAAAAAATTAATAAGAAAATAATAAGAAATAATGTAAAGGAAGTTTCATTTTTCAATTATGAAAATTTTGAATTATGATTCAATTTATATTCATATTTTATGCAGCTATCCAATTTACATACATAAAAATAATCTAGTGTTGGTTAGCATGCATGGAAATAGATGCTTTTGATTGAAGTGTGTACTGGTTTAATCTTTCCAGAGGGCAATTTGAAAATATGTACCAAAAATCTTTAAAATGTCCACGAAATGGATCTTAAAAATGTTCACCTGGTTATTCCATCTAGAAATTTATAAGACATAATAATCCAACACAGTATCAGTTTTATAAAGTGTTAAGCTGATTGGTTCCTCGGGCTCTCTGGTGTGCAGGCCATTTGGGGACTGTCCAGCTTCTGATACCGTAAGCCAATCTAATAAATCACCTTTTATTTAAAAAAAAAAAAAACAGTTCCAACTGACAAGCCGTTCCTCAGAAATTATTTTCCAGACTAGAGAAGACTCACAGAAGGAAAGCTGAGTTAGAGGATGCTGCCAGCATCTTGGAAAGGGATCTCCCTTCTTGTCAGACCTTCTCTTTGTAACCGGCCTTTATGAATTGTTTGCAAGGGTTACTTAGAGCCTCCCTAACCAGCAGGTTGAGGGGAATCAATGGCAAGTCAAATTTGACACACACACAACATTATTTAACTTAAGGAGCTCCAAATAAGTGTTAAAGAGAAGGCAAGTGAGAGACATTGCAGCAGACAGTGCAGCCCCCCTGGCTTCATTCACATTGATCTTCTCCATTCTTCATAGAGATGAATGCTACCAACTGATGTTAAACTTCATTGAATGCTTAAAAAAAAAAGTGTCAGGCTGGCAACAACCCACATTCCTAAAATATTTAGTTATTTGATAGAACATCTTCCAAGACTATTTCATGGCTTTAAATCTCAGACAAAAAGCTAAAGGATACAAAATGAGACCCTGTGGGGGCGGGTGTGTGTGTGTGTGTGTGTGTGTGTGTGTGTGTAGGTAAATCCCTATTAAAGTGCAACAGAAAATGTTAATAGTAATAATCACAGAGTAGGAATTTGCTTTATTTATTTTTGGTGCCTTGGTTGTATGTTTAAGCAGCCACGATACCACTGAGCTACATCCCCAGCCCCCGCCTTATTTTTATTCTCAATAATTTTCTGTATTTTACTTTTTTTTTTCCTATAATTTCCTCAGGGGGAAACAACGTTATGATGGGAGAAATTAATTGATCGTGGAGTAATTGGTTCATACAGTGTTCAAGGCAGCCACTCCGGGGGTTCAAGGCTCCCTGCTGCCGCAAACGTTTTGGGCCTTCTCAGGTCTCGTATCTGGGAACCTGTAAAATAAGGGGTGATATACTAGATTAGTCGGGGCGGGGGCGGTCTTCTCACTGTAAAATGACCAAGGTTTAAAATTTCCCCGATTTAGTTTAGGAACCAGACTGGTTTGGGCGGCCCAGGGCGGGAGACTCCGAGGGCTTTGCGGACCCGCACCGCGGCCCGCAAACGCACTGCGGTGGTTCCTCCTTGGCGCGGGCAGAACCGGAGCCCACCCACCTCGGGAAACCCGCGCAGCAACCCTTCTCACGTCGGTACGGGGGTTTCTGCTCCTTGGAGGAAAATACGGTGTCCTAAAAGGCGTTTTTTGCGTCATCGGTAGGTAACCTGCAAGCCCCTCACTCCAAATCGCCACCTCTCAGGTGTGCTTTCCTAAAGGTACTGGACTTAGATTTTATATATATATATATTTTTACCAGGATTCCTCGTGTGCATCATTTAAGATGAGGGCGCTCTCCAATTTGCAAACCATTTCAGACAGCTTTAGGTTTCAAACACGGCTTAAAAGAGAGTTTCATGGGGCAATTCAAGACTTTGACCTTCACAGTTTTTACTCATAATTCTTTTCTAAGGACCCTTCCCTATCAAACACAAACGTCGCAAAAGAGCACACGCCGAGCCAGCCAGGAGTCGAACCTAGAATCTTCTGATCCGTAGTCAGACGCGTTATCCATTGCGCCACTGGCCCGTGTTAGCGGAGCTTTCACTGTGCAGCTGATCACCGCTGACGCAGTTTCAACAGGCTTCCTGGCACCAGCTCTTCGTTCCCATCCCTGCGTCGGTGTCGTGGCTCCGGCGCTGAGCTGCCGGCTCCGCCTTTCCCAACGAACACGCCGCACCAATCCGCAGACGCTACGTCACGGCGTTCTTCGACGCAATCCAATCCATCGCATCAGGGGGCGTGTCTCTCACGCTCCAACTCGCATACTTGTTTGTCCCCCGTCGCCTCCCGTTCGCTTGCGTTCTTTCCCGCGGGGCGGCAAAGGGGTGGGGTGAGGCGGGCGCGGTGGCTGGAGTGCCAGGGTGACCGGTAGCGCAGTAGCGGAGGTGGTGGTGAGGCTCAGGGCGAGCCGGCGGAACGGAGAGGGAGAATTGGTGCTGCAGGATGGCGGCGACGACTTACGAGCGGCTGAAGCTGTGAGTTCCGCGGCTATGGTGTTGACAGAAAGGGCCTGGGGGCGGCAGGTGCGGGCCGGCGTCTCCGGGAGAGACCCGTCCCCCAGCCCCTGTCTCCAGGGCGGGAGCACGGATCTTGCCGGCCTTTCTGGGCCCTCTCGGCCTCGGCTCCCGCGGGGGAGCGGAGCTGCAGACCGGCTCCCAGCTCTCCTGGACCTCGTGACTACGCGGCCCTTCTGGGCGCTCCTCCCCACTTTTTTTTTTTTTTCCTTTTAAAAGAGAGCTCTTGGCCCAATTTATCCTTATGGCTTAGCCAAGAAAAAAGAGGTTTTCCTTTATTTAGTGAGTTTATAGTAACGTTTTAAAGTCCACATAACACTTTTCTCTTGGTTACGTCGAAGGCTGCTTGACGGGTCTCTAGGGTGCAGGAAAAGAAATTTACGGTCAGTACTTCTTTTAAGGTCTGGAAGGAGTTTACTTTGGTTTAAATTTTACACAACTGTAGCGTAAGCAGGTCCTTAAGTCTTTGCTGACAGCCATTCGCTAATCTCTACCGTCTGGACATTGCAAATTGACTTTTTGGTGAAGACAAATGCTTGGGGCTTTGGGAGAAAGAGGCCCTGGATGTTAAAGAGTTTAAAATAGTTGTTTGTAAGGGCTTTGGCTCGTCCTGGATAAATAATATGCATGTGTTTCCCCTTAGTATTACCCTCAGCGTCTGCACTTTTCTTGTCTGGGAATAACTTTGTTCTACTCACTTTAATACTTTGCCTCTAGGCTATTTAAAAATCTGGTAGTCTGGGAATGTTTTTGACAGCAGAATCAAATGTAATTTTTGAGAGCAAGCTTATCCATCCCTCTGTATGTTAAAATATCCTGGTACTTAGGCATAGGTATCACATTTCCTTTGCAGGAAAATGAGGAGGTATGGTTTGGGCACTTCTTGTACTCCCAAGAACCTCAGGCTCACTAATAACTTTCTGAAAGGTTCAGAGTTTAGGGGTGCAGCATTGGGTGGGAAGATATCTACTCCATGTCATGTATTTTGCAGAAAAGGTGACTACTTTTTTCTACATTTCACTCCCTTTGCCCCTCCCATTTATAATAATCCCTTTGAAAACCCCAGCTGCACACCTCCCTTCACATTTTCTTCACCTTTTCTTATTCTCTCCCATTTCCTGTTTGCAAAGTGATCAAAAAGTTGAAATGTCTTTGACTAGGTAACTGGCTAGGCCAGTGTTGCATGTGCTTTGCTGGTGAATTGGGTTATTGTTGTCTATCTGATAGGCATTGAAGGGTTTAATGTGATCTTACACCAGGTCTCAAATGTGTTTAAGCAATATGGAGCCTTGGTTTAATGCAGCTCAGTGTTAGGTTACAGGATACAGTTGAATTTTCCTGTGGCAAAGATTGAATAAGATAGAGAACTTTAGAATTTTGTTGATTGTTTTTGAGCTGCCAAAGCACTAAATTTCACCAGTCCAGACCTCAAAACAAACAACACCCTCTATATCCATAAAAGAGAAAGGAAATTTGGTCCTTAAATGATGAGAATGATGCTTTTGTATTGATTTATGTGAAAATAGAAGCTATAAATTTGTTTCAGTAAAAAAGTAAATTTGGGGTTATGTGAAAGTCATTTTCTGATTTATCAGTCCTTAAGTTTTGAGTACTTCTTATAAATGTGAGGATAGAACTCTTTTTTTTAAACCAATTTGTTTTACTTTAGCGGGCTTGTGAGTTGAAATCTCTGTTTTTATTCCTTTTTTTGGTCCTGCTGTTCAGTTTTTAAATGTGGCCTCTGACCAAAGAGTATTCTTTTGGATGCATCTGGATGTGGAATTGGTTGCTGACCTACATAAGAATTGGTAGGACACAGTAGCCATTTTTTAAAGGTGCCTGGAGATGTATTTTAAGAAAGTGTCATACAAAAGAGATAGTTTGGTTAATTTTTTTAAACAAATTTGTTGAACAGTGATTATTTAAATGTTAAAGTGCTTGAAATACTAAATATTTTTTTCTACATTATGCCATACTTTTTCTTTGTCCATCCTTGCTCTGCTGAAGCTCATCTTCCAGATATCTTAATTTCATCCTCTACTTCCTAGGGTACAATTTCCACTTCCTATAGGATCAAGCCCACATTAGTTGGCTTAACCTCTATAATTCTTAACCTCTCTATAATCTATTTTCTAACTTTATTTTCTGTAAGTACGCTCCCATCCCCTGCCCATTTCTGCCAGATTTGGCTCACCCTCTTCTAACTTGGGTTTATTTTGATCCTTTCACCCGGAATGCTTTTTCCTCTCTCCTATCTCTCTATATATGCTGATCAAATCCATGATAGAACTGAGAAAACTCAGGTTTTTTTAGTCAGAATAGATTTGGATTCAAATCTTAAATTTGCTACTTGCTTTCCAGGGCATAATACTTAATCTCTCAGAATCTTTTTTTTTTTTTTTTTTTTTTTTGATACTGGGGATTGAACTCAGGGGCACTTGACCATTGAGCCACATCCCCAGCCCTATTTTGTGTTTCATTCAGAGAGACAGGGTCTCATTGAGTTGTTTAGCATCTCACTTTTGCTGAGCTTCACTTTGAACTCGCAATCCTCCTGCCTCAGCCTCATGAGTTGCTGGGATTATAGGCCAAAGTACCTGGCTCAGAATCATTTTTTTAATCTGTAAAATCTGAATGTTAATACTTCACAGAATTATTGCATGGTTTGAAAAGGATTGTGGATGAAATACTCACTGTATATCACAGAGACCTTCTCTGAGAAACCTTTTCTTTTCACATTTTTCTTGTCGCTCAGCTGTGATAAGTCTTTGAAGCCAGAAGTGAAAAATTAAACAACAAAAGTCCGAATGATTTACATATTCTGTCTCTTTGGATTGATTTATAAAGCATTTACTGTGTCATGGACAAGAGGACTAAGAGCTATAACCATCCATCCAAAATACTGTTTGAATCAGTCACCTAGAAAGAATGTGATCATGATGTATACTTTGTTTCTTTAGCTGTGTTGCCACTATCTAGAATGTGTTAGAAGCACCTTAATAGACTTCTCCTCTAGTCCTACTCAGTATTTAACAAAAAGCCTGTGCATCTCCTCAGTGAACCTGCATCCCTAGTAAATGAAGTTTCCAGTATAGATCACCCACTAGTACTTTAAAAAGAATAGTTTGTAGTAATTTGGAATGTATTCTTTTGAAAAAGCAGAGGCTTAAGTCTTTTCATGTATGTTGTTTTCCTCCCAATGCCCCTGTAAGGTCTTAGGTAGGTATGTCCTCTGTCATTGTTGAAGACAGTCAAATAATTACCCTTAGTTACAGTCAGGTCATACAGTCAAGCCGCAGTAGAGCTGACCTTGGAACACAGTTGGTCCGGAGTCCAGTAATCTTTCCATTACACTGCAGTATTCAGATTACCTTTTTTCTCTTTATCAGGTTGATTTATTCTTAGTCCTCAGACATGCCAGGTATAGAAATGAACTTATAATAAAAAATAGTTGACATATTCAAATGGATTTTTAATATGGAAAACAATGTAGATTTGTTTAAAATTTAAAATTTATATACTTTTTAAACTTCTATGCAGTTTTAAATGTCCTTTGTTGAGCCTTTTTTTTGTTTTTTAGATCCTTTATGTAAGCATGGGTAATTTCAAATGTGTATCTGAAATTGTGAAACAGACTAGAAATGTATTATTCCCCCCAACCCCCATCTTGAAAGGTCAGCTGAAACTAGGTGGAAAACAGGGAATCCTTTAGATACTGAATCTGGCAGCATCTTGTCTCTGAAGAAGTACCGTTTCCTTAGTTAAGAAATTGTCTTTCCTACAAGATTTTCATAGCTGTGAGGTCAGTCAGGGCAGATGTATTGCAAACTAGAGAACAGATGTAAGCTATTCTGCATTGTAATGAGAACCTATGTGATATGTCCATCATTCACATATCTCTCCATGGAGGGAAGGGTATAGATTATCCTCATGAAATTGGACAAAGATGATAAAGTTTATGTCTTAAGAATGGCATAATTGGATGGAAGTTCGGGCTAGAGAGTATAGATGAATGCTAAGTGATGCGATGTAGCTAGCATCCTTTAGATACATAAACTTTGTGACAATGACAGTTACCAGGTTCCTAGGCAAATAATCATTTTTTCATTATGATAAGATGTATATAAAATATATTATTTTAACCATTTAAAATGTATAGTTCAATAGCACGAAGCACTTTCACGTTGTTGGCCAACCATTACTACCATCTGTCTCCGGAATTCTTGTCTTCTGGCAAAACTAAAACTGTACCCATTGAACAACTCCCTATTCTTCTATTCCTCCAGCCCCTGGCAGCCACCACTCTAAGTCTTCTGTTTCTGTGAATTTGAAATTAGGTGCCTCATTTAAGTGAACTCATAACACTATTTTTTTGGAACAGGCTTATTTCACTTAGTATGTCTTCACAGTTTGAACTGTGTCAGAATTTCCTTTTTAACACTGAATAATATACCATTATATGCACAGTCATGTTGCTTTGCAATGGGAACACATTCTAAGCAATGCGTCCTTAACCAATGTTGTTGGGTAAACATACAGTATACTTACACTTGTCTAGATACTTACACAGCCTATTATACACTTAGGCTACATGATATGGACTATTGTATATGTGGCTCATAGTTGACCAGAACGTCTTTATGCAGTACATAACTACTACCATGTTTAGTTT